AAGCCAAATACCAGCAACAGTGTGTGAAAACCTTGTGAAGACTTACAGAAAACGTTTGACCTCTGTCATTGCCAACAAAGGGTATATAACAAAGTATTGAGATGAACTTTTGTTATTGACCAAATACTTATTTTCCACCATAATTTGCAAATAAATTCTTTAAAAATCTGACAAATGTGATTTTCTGGATTATTTTTTTTTCTCATTTTGTCTCATAGTTGAGGTATACCTAGGATGAAAATTACAGGCCTCTCATCTTTTTAAGTGGGAGAACTTGCACAATTGGTGGCTGACTAAATACTTTTTTGCCCCACTGTATATACTGCTAAGAGATGTTGAATCATATTCAAGAGATTTATTTGTAATAAATGTAAACCATTGCTCCAGTTATAGTCAAAGTGTCCTAATGCATGTCAGTAGCTGGAAGCTACAAGTGAATACATGTAATCGGGTTAGAACAGACTTGTGTGTGTTAATAGTTGTAATAACCTCTACTACAGTGTATACTATGAACTACTGTGTTCCACAGCAAGTCGTTTGGATTTGCTGTACATTCCATCTTAGTTACAAACTATCATGTTACTAATGATAATAAGAATATAACAACATTAATATTAAATGATTGACCAAATAAAGCTGTAACAAGGGTTGCAGTCAAAGAATGAGAAGCATCAACGACCAGGTGGCTACTCGTTAAGTATACTCTGTATTATGGTCTCTTGTTTACTCTAAATGGGACACGTTTTACAAAAAGAAACTATCAATTGTGACCATAAATTCATTAGGTAGATTTTGAGTAAGTTAATATAATCTGACTTGATGCAGGTTTAAGGCACTTCCGCATTGGCTATACCTTTTTGCTCCGGAAGTTGTACTGAAGCACAGCAAATGCTAAATGCAAATCAATATTTCAGCAAAGGACAAATCCCTGATCTCCTCCTTGGTTGAAATCCTTTGCTCTAAGCCCAGGTGAATTCAATCACACAACACACACGTCTCAAAGACAAACTTGTTTTACTATATATTATTTTTACAAAGTTTCTGCAAAGTCAAATAAAAAGTGTTGTGCATAAAGGGTTATTTGGCCATGCCAGACAGCCAGCTGAGTTTGAACAGAGAGGGAGTGGCAGAGTCCTCGTCCTGAGCAGCCAGCTGTCTGAAGAGGCTGCCCGGCCGGAAGCTGTCCTCACCCGCTGTGGAGGAGGGGGGGGGAGGCGTCTGCTGCAGGGAGGAGAACACGGCAGGTTAGCTGAGGTTTTGGTGGATTGTCCATCCTCATTCTTAAGTAATAAAAACACAACACAATGTTCTATTGTCCCTGGGTCACCGGTTCAAATAGGGCTATCATACTATGCCTGGATGGCCATCTCTTGGGATGTGGGCATTAAACTCACTCAAGAGCCCATTAAATGTGTTAGGGGAAGAACACCGAACATTGAGTATTTAACAGCAGGCAGGCGTAAGGTAAAACAGGGGATTTGCTCCGAATGACACAGGTCCCTTTCAATGGTAACCAGAGAGTACACAGTACAAAGATACTACAGCGTTCTACATCAGTATTCTTCCAAACATCTTCTGTGTTGCTAAGCACAAATCTTCCACCTTTGGTTTGACAAGCTTAACATTTTAATGTAAGACTTTTTGTGGTTGGAATAAATTGTGATTTTTATTTGATACCTGCCTGATGGTCCCACACAGACACCATTTAACAACTGCTTGAGTGACTTCTTGTTCCAGGAGATGGCAAGTGCCGGCATCAGATCACTCGGAAATAGTTGACTGTCAATTACTTTGAAAAAGATTGTGGAAATTCAATATGTAAAGTCTATGGAACAATTGAGGTTTTCATACGTCTCATTTCTCTGGTTAAAATAATAAATGCATAGACAATATAAATAAAATAGTTATGAAGCAGTTCTAAATTCTAGTTTACCTCTACTACTAACGATCATAATGTCAACAAGCCAGTTCCTCTCTGTCATTTATGTAAAAGATCAGTATCATAAAGTAGCTTCGCTCCGTTGGGGCTTAACAATGGATCAGAGGCAGGAGCCGTGTTGCGAGATGACCAGCGCTGTAGTTAGCTCCTGAATGTCTCACAACATGTTCGAGTGAGAAGGTATACCAGCACAACGGTAAATCCAGCAGTGTGATGTGTAGCTTCACAGGGCTAGCTACAGGAGAGCCGGGCTCTGGAGCTCCATGCTAACATTTCAAATGTGGAGAGGGAATGTAGTGGACAGGAGAGGCAAAGAAGCTAAAGGTCACATTCATTGTCTAAGGGGTCACTGGTGGGGACTACTTTCACCTTTAAACTAGTTAACACTCCATGTTATCATGAAACACCTAATCCAACGTTTCAGAGAGCCTGGATTATTCTGTCGGAACAGTAAAGTTTGTCGTCAGATGGAAGGAGTAGATGTTAGCTCCGAGCACCCAGCAGTGAGAGGATACAGGTTTAGCCTAGCTTAGCAGAATGGAGGCAGAGGGACACTGTTGGCCATGCAAAGCAACAATTCAACTTGCACTGGCTCCAAGGCACACTTATATCATTGGAATTCATGTTGGTCATTCTTTTTTTTTTAAGGAAAGCTTAAAATTGATTACTTTGGACAAATCCCAACTGGAGTTGCATAGAGACATCAGATTGTTTGTATTGCTGTGGACATTGCCACACATTAAACTAGTAATGCATGCAACTCAAGATGTGATTTGTCCACTCAGACCAGGAAAATGCCATGTCATTGTTGCAGTGCTGCTTCCCCAAGAAAGTGTCCAGTCATTAGTCTGATCCTGAGCTGAGCCCGGCAGAGGGTGGGAGAGAACAGAGCAGAACATTCTGTGGTCCGTCTGAATGATTTCACCACTTCATAATCTGTACTGTCATACTGCAAAGGCACCAGGGGCACCACACACACACACACACACACACACACACACACACACACACACACACACACACACACACACACACACACACACACACACACACACACACACACACACCTGAGTCTCTTGCATTCAGAATCTCTGAGGAGGCAGAGGGTGTAACAGAGAACATTACCCAGGGTGCAACAAAACAATAAACAGAGAGATGAAGACATACAGTGTGTGTGTGTCAGCTTATGAAAAAATCAGAGTTACATCCTGCTGCTGATCTCAGCTCAGTTACTCACCATGTGGTGAGGAGCCTCAGAGCTCCGGGAGGCCGACTTGGGTTTACGCACATTGGACATGCTGAGAGGTAGCAACCCGAACCTGAGGAGGGGACATCGTGGGAATTAGGTTGAAATACAATTTTGAAAAAAAGTATGGCACATATCCAAAAGAGACAGGGAAGGATAGTTACTGTATATACAGTCATATTAATTACTGACTATAACTGGACTCAATGACAGTAATTTAATTAAGAATTTAGTAAGATCTGACCAACATCAGATATTTTATTTGATAATTGAGTTTAGATGAGCTGGAGTTGACCTCTGACCTGATCTGGCTGCTGGCCAGTGGCAGGATGTTGTACGGCTCCTGGGAGTTCACACTGCTGCTCCGCGAGGGGAACTGCTTCTCGGAGCCTGTCAGCAGGCCCAGCAGCACCTGAGGCACAACGTCACAGGACCTCAACAACTTCAGTAACAGAGCACCAGAGTCACCTGTTTACTGTCACATCTGGAAACATGTACAGGCATTGTGTGTGTGTGTGTGTGTGTGTGTGAACTATTCATGGCGTGGTGCTGAAGTACCGAAGTCCTCTGGGACATGCGGTTGAGGTTGGTGTTCAGCGGGGGGGTGAACACGTCCAGGTCAAATGGGTCGATGTAGCCCTCCAGCCAATCACAGACGTCGTGGAATCTGAAAGACACAAAACAGTGTTGAAGTGGCTCAATCAGAAAGCTAGAGAGGTAGAGTCACTCCAGACCTGCACCCAGCTCCTATCAATCCCTGATCCTCTGTCTCTGTGCTAATACAGCTTTGAACAGAAGCATATGGAGCATGGCTCCAGACTGACTGTGTAGTCAACTGATTACATACACGCTCTAAATATGCAACAGATAAACAGGATAGGAGCCACGAATCTCACATAGTGGTGACATTTGTTGTGCATTTAATAAGGTCCGAGATGGTTTTCTGTTTGGTATAGGCCAGTGTTTGTTATATTATCATGTGTTATTGTGTCATCGCAATGGGTTGGTTGAGATGGTTGGATCCATAATATAATCAGCTGTTCACCTGTGTTAGGTGTGAGGCGGACAGAGTGAGAAGGTCTGCCACTTTGATAGCTGGATTATTCCTTCGTGTGATTACACATTACTCATTGATATTAAATTAGGAATTGTTGAACACATTTTGGATCTCTGCAATTATTTTGTGGAAGTGCGTCAGAGAAAGCCAACCAGTCCAGACGTCAGTATCAAGATCCAGCAGGAGTCACATCAGAGCTCATTCATCACTTCCTGTCAGTGATGCATAATCAATAACTAATATTGAGCATCTCCGAGACAAAATGTGAGACGTGTGAGGCATGATTATAAGACCTGCACCCCCTGCCTGCTCTGGAACATCCCAGATACTGAACTGGTTAGTGCCTGCAGTCATCTGAATTCTAAACGTCATATACTTCTCAAACCGTTGGACCGGTTACAAATGATGCTTAGTCAAATGAAGTAGAGTAATACCACCAGTGACCCCTACAGGAGAAAGGATTCTAGCATACTAGTAGCATTATATGTCATGTAATTCAAGTAGAACATATATTTATGCTAGGTGATAATTATTTTCTTAAATTAGATTCACAGATGTTTAAATGTTGGATGTGATCTTCTGTTATGGTCTGGTTGACTAGAAAAGTTGAATTGTTGCTGCAGATGAGGAAAATTAGTTTTTGCTTTATTCTATGAATTCATACTTGAATCATGTACATTCATTCTTTTTGGAATGACTCAGACACTGGAGCCAGGAGCTGTGCAGCACTCCTCTGATAGCTGGGGTGGGGTATAGACTCCATCCTGGTTGTGGGTGATGGTGTTACCTGGGGTCTTGGTGGGATCTGGAGCTTTTGCCCTCTTCCTGTCTGCTGCCCAGGGTTGAGTTCAGGTACCGCAGGTCAAACAGCAGCTGCAGGGCTCTGTTCTGAGTCATGGGGAACACTCCCTCCTGGAGGACGAGGAACAGAAAACAACAGTAGGTTCACTCATTCAAGGAATTTGTCTTTGTGTATATGATGCATACATAAACACAGCTAAAGACGATAATTAGTAAGAACAACAACCCCAACAATTAAAATAATTATAAAAAACGATTGAAAAAAGAAGATTATAGGTTAAGATATTCAAAGAATAATTACATGAAATCTGGATATACCAAAAATCTATGTACATTTTACTATTGCAAAGTAATAATAAAATAAAAAATGTGCAGTAATAAAACAGACGTTTTTCACATTACAAACTTCCCCTGTTATCAACACTGTGTGTGAGTGTGTGTGTGTGTTCCTTACCGTGCTGGGGGCCCGCTGTGTGAGGCTGTGGTAGTGCTGCAGGGCCTGATCCAGACAGGTCTGCAGCAGCTCCTGCAGGGTGGGCCGGGGCAGGGCGTGCCCCCCCACCCTGTTTACCTCCACACACAGCTGGAACAGCAGCGACTGCACAAACCAGGACGGCTGCGGAGACACATATCAGATTACTGAAAGGAGTGATAAAGCATTTCCTGTGTGTGTTGGAGCTGCTGAGACCCTCACCTGGACTGGAAGACGGATCTTGGATGTCACGCTGCTCCCTGACTCCGCCTCCTCCTGGATCTCCAGATCCTCCCAGTTAGTCCCTGTGGTCAGGACCGCCCCAGCAGACTCTGCATGCAGCGCTGTGCCCAACTTATCCAGCAGCATCTGTGACAACACACACTCCGTCAGGCAGCCCACCAACAGCACACATTCAGGCCTTCATTTGTCTGGGCATTTGAGGGCAGCAGGAACAAACAACACCAGCTTATAATGATGTAATGGCTCATTGAAAAAATCTGCTTATTTCAGCAGCTTAATGGACTCACAGTGAACCCTTTATGCATTCATTTGACAGGCTGTTTCCATTTGTGAAATGGGTGTAATAACAGTGTAATTATGGTGAAATGTGGGTGTCATTTGGTGTACCATGACATCTGTTAACAGCTCTACCTGCTGAGCATCAGTCGCTCAAAGCTGATTCCGTCAATCAAAGATTCTCGCTCCTGTTTGCTGCTCTATGTAAATATCTGCTCTGCGCGTGTGTGTGTGTGTGTGTGTGTGTGTGTGTGTGTGTGTGTGTGTGTG